AGCTATGCCGCAGTCGAGCGCTATCTCAGCTCCTGGTCCACCATTAACGAGAACAAAAGCGCAATGCAACCACCATACATGCGAGTGCCCGCAATCTCCGGGCCCTCTCACATCTCAAAGGCATCGCCGTCACTGAAAATACTCTTGTTCTCTGAGAGACGCTTTGGTGTCAGATGCGTACTCGGGACGCGTTACACTAGAGACTAGCGCGCATTGATCGGTGGGCTCATCTGAGCTCAACCTTCCCAGCTGTCAGAACGTACCAAAGTAACATTGGGCTTCTACTGTGGACATCGACCCGCAGTGTCCACGGTTCCATTGTGTTAGAAAATGGACGGCTAAAAAGGACGAAATTATGTTCATTTCTCAAAAACACGTGTTAGAGGTAGGCCATCCCTGGGTCACCGGAACCCCTTTTGTGCCACTACTTGACTCCTTATTCCACCTCGGTAAGGCGAGGCTCAGTTCTTTACCCCAACTTATCCCACTACCACACACTCGCACGTTGCGGAAAAAGAACGCTAGACTCCGACAGTGGTGGTCCTTCTGAACCTTTCGGAATCCACCCAAAGAACCCTAAGGAAAGCCCATCCGCTAGAGTCTCCATATACTCCCTCGGCCTCCTCCGCATTTTCGCTACCGGCCGTTCTTTCGGCAGCCGGCTTTTACACGGCCTATGCATAATGACAGAGACAAGCGCAAACATCACAAATCCAAACCAAATCTACTCCCTATAAGCTCAACGAATTTGGCTATTCCGTCGGCGCAATTATCACCATTTCTGAAGGTCTATTGCAGTTTTAACTTGGTTTAAATATAGCCTATACACGATTAGCCAGGAAAAACTATTTGCTCTGGCACCTAGGACATTGAAAAATAAAAAATCTGATTATATTAATTTCAGCCTACTGATCTGATTCTGGGCTAGCTAGTTGTGCATCAACAGGACGGCTTCGGCTTTCTCGGTCCGTCTTCTTGCCGTTGAACGTCATTGGTTTGCAAAAGGCGTGTTGTGTAGATATATGCTGCACGTTTCCCCGGCAGGTACTGGCTATCATTTGGTGATCCGACGATGAGTCGCTGGATTCACGTCAAATGCCATTCTGACTATCACAATTCCACGGGTCTGCCGTACAACCTTTGCTGATATTTCGTTCTCTGTGAACCGAAAACAATGCTGGAGATCCATAATCCTTCCGACTAGCAAGTGACATCCATGGTTACTGTTTAAAACCGAACATCTTCCCCGCAAACCTTAAGAAGCCATTCGTGCGACCAGTGACAAGTCAGCGGACCAGTGCGTGTCCTGTCGTCACCCTAGCCTCAGACAACGACCAACGTTGGCCGTTGTCAGGAGCTGCGGGTCGCAATCACACCTAGCATACCTTTTTCGTGGATGTTAGTTCAGTCATCTAGAAAGCCTATCTGGATGGTATTCTTCCATATGAATTGGGCTCTTGTGGGTGATGCCTCCCAGAATACCGTAGACTCTTTTGGTCCTACAGAATATCCGACGGATTCCTTCAAATCCCATGTCATTCTTCCAAAGTTCTTCTCAGCCAAGGAGTTTGCCCCTTCGTAAAAAATTCTTTTCTGAGCACCCCCAATAGTGATGGCTCTTCACCGTCAACGCTCTTCAAACCGATCTCCACACCGCTCCCACACATGTGCACTCACCCGACTGATCATACATTCCCCCAAAAACGTGAAAACTTACCAAGGATACTTCCCAGTTGTTCACGACACCGTCACGCAGGAGCGTGTCCCATTCTGTGGTCGCGATGCAGTGTGCCCTATCCCAGCTTGGGGTAGGGAGAGGCTTCTATCCTCCCTGAGTCCGCACTGAACGATGGATTTATTTTGTCGTCCAACCTCCAGCAGGTTTATGCTTGCACAGACAGGTGTCAAGCTGACGTTGCTCCAAATATATGTTCATCAGTGGACACATCGTTCGCAGCAATCTCCGCTGCTCTGCACTATGGGTAGTGAGGCTCACATCGTTGCCATTGGCTATTTGCACAACCAAATTGTTTTCGCCGTAACTACAGGGGTTTGTGAATCAACGGGGATTTAGTCTAACCCGTTTACACATTTTGGTGATATTTCGTTTATAGAATTTTGTTTAAGTGAACGAAATTTCAAGCTCACGGGCCACCAAAGATTCGACCCTCATACTCACACACATCCTCACCAGTTCGCATCAACCACATATCTATATCTATACGGGAATATCGGTTAGCGTTTTTGAAATAGGGCATTGTCGCCTCATTGAATTAGCTGAGATTAGTGAAAACTTTTAACTGTCTGTTATTTCTTCAGGCATTCTAAATCACACGAAAGTGCTTTCTGGCAAACCCTCCGGACACTTTTTCCTGTTTTGAGTCCCCAATGTGGGCATGGCTATCTTATTACCTATTTTGAATGGACCCAAGAATATCCTAACTACAATGGTAACCTTAAAGGGCTCATCCAAGACGTTCGTGTACGGTGCTGTCCACGAACCGATGAAGGTACCACTACTACCATACCAAGTCTGATGGCTTGCCCCTGGTTAACTAGCTCTCGTAGTTTGCAGACGAGCGTGTTACGCAGAAGACCGTTTTAGTTCGTTTAATTTGTGCAAGGACTTGTAAGCAGTTGCCATCATATTGTGCCGTCTGCTTGCTACGCTGACAAACCCAATGGCCTATCGAAGTCCAGAATCAATGGCTCGGTATATCTAGGTCGCGAATAGCCGCTCCAATTTGAGTTTGCGCGGGTGTAATGCGCGTGAATATTGTTTAAGTCGTTTTGGGGTTGTTTCCAAACATCATACGCAAGAAAACACGCAAAGAAACCAGCTTTCACACAAAATTTCTCGCCGTTTTCACAAAGACGACGGACGAAGCCGCCGGCGGCTAGACACACGGTCAAAATTGCTCTGAAAACGTGGTTCGAAAAAGGAGAATTTTAACATGAAGTTTTAACATTTCGTGGTAATTTTTTGGGCGTATGGAATCTTCCCAAACGGCCGCAGTTTTGTTGGAAGTTGTTTAAACCTACTCAGTCTCCACCATATTCAAGGCCCGCGAAATTCATATTTTAATGGCCGCCATGGCTAAGCAACCAGCGGCTAGAGGCGCAATGCATTATTCTGCAAAACCCCTGCGGGCGAAATAAAAACTTTAACGTCAAAATGTTGCACTTCTTTGCATATATGCGTGGACTGAAAACCCCCCTCATCTGCCGTCATTTTTTTGCGATTTGTTTTAATCGATCTCTTCTGAAAATTATTGGCGCACATTCGGCTTTGAATTTCGTCTGCTATGGCTTCGGAAGTGGCTTTCTTTGAGAAATTTGCGAGTACATCCTTTTCATCCTTCCCGGCGTTTGAGAAGATCTTAAATGAATACATGAAGGATAACTTTGTGATATTTGTGAGTTCATCCAGTAATCGAAGCACCAACACTATTTTACGTTACGAATGAGTGTACTAAAAATGCAGCGGGCGCCCTACAAGACCAACGGAAAGCCGTGGAATCCGAAGAAGCTAGTGAGCCGAGAGCATTTTCTAATAAAAAGTACGCGAAACACCAGCTGTCCAGTGCGGTTTTGTCCACGGAGGCAAAGGAACCAACTGGCAGTGACCTCTTATTTTCTGGAACACAACCAAAAACTGTCAAATTTCTGTACGATCGGCTTCCAGTCAATCGACGCCTAACCGAAAACGAGTTGGGCACATAACAGGCCCAGCTGAGATATGGGACGCCGTCATCTGAGGTGCGGCAGTTTGTGGCGGATGAATTCGGAAAGATTCTTA